TTTGATGATATTGAAAGATATAAAAGATATATACGTATATATATATATATATATGTGATGATGAAGTCATAAATATATCATCGAATATATATATTTATTATTGTCCGTTTCAGGTGCTAAATTAATTATGATTAAAATTATAAATAAAAAAATATCAAAAAGTGAATATTACAAATAAAGAAGCATCAGAATATATTATGTAAAAATTGTTAAGTAAAAACATGCCAAAAAAGTGTGCTTAGCAAGCAATTATATACATATATAAAGTAATTACAATATAGTAAGTATTATATGCAGTGACATGTACAGCACAAATATTTGAATATATAATTAATAGAAACCAAGGAAAATAGAATTAACAGCTATAAAAAAAAAAAAAAATGAAAAAGTTACTTTTGAAGCAATTTAAAACATCAATATCTTTTATGAAAAGAGTATAATTTTATTTTATCATAGATCAGTAGCAGCACATCTGAGACATTTTATATAATCCAGTTGTATAAATTGGAGAACGCTCAATGATATCCTTCCTGATAAAATATATTATAGTCCTCAATTGCGCCTGTGAAAAACAAGAGAGATAGAGAGAGTCGTTCATAGCACGCAACAGGTGTTTTCTTTTCTCTCTCTCTCTCTTCCTTCCTTCCTTTCTCCCTCTTTCTCTGTATACATCTGAATGCGACATATTTTCACGTTTATTTACGTAGATTGAAATTCCATTAGATATTAATTTAGTTTTGCTATTTTTTTCCGTTCGACAAGGACCTTTCTGTAGTGCGTGTGTAGGTATTTCTTTCTCCTCTCCCCTTCCACCCTCCCTCTTTTCGCCCCTCTCTTTCCGTAAGACGTCAAGCGGGTAAGGGTTTTAGCCAACGAGAGAGGGACTGCGTCGACGCGCAGTCGCCAGGTGAGGCAACGACGACGACGTGTTCGCCTCGTTACGCTCAGCCGGGGAAACATACGGTTAGTGTTGCAAAGAACTTTGCGACTTTCGACGCAAAGACGTTCCGTCCGAGCGTGCGGCCAAGAAACGGAAAGAGAAAGAGATACGGCGAGAAGTAAAGTATTATCTCGAACATCGAATCTGCCCGCGGACCTCGATTTTTCAGTTATTCCAGGTGTGCTCTCGAGTTAAATCGCCATTGCCATAACCTCAAACCGTCGCGTTCGCCGTTCCGTGAAAAAACATGTCGCGCGTAGTGGATAATCAGTGAATAATCAGTGATAAAGACGTCTCGGCATCGAGACGTCGTGCGAGTGTGTGCACGATCGAAACAGCAGGAGGAGAAAGGAGGGAAGAAGGAGCAAGAATCAACGAGCCGCTTCAGAGCTGCCAGGTGCGCGGCTCCCACGGGAATAATGACGGGGACAAGGACAGGAGGAGATGGCGGAGGAGAAGGAGGCTCGCCGAATATCCTGGTCGCCCTTTATGTGGCGACCGCTGGCCTTCAAGGAAATGCGCTCGGCTCTGACGAGGAAGAGATCACGCTACTCGTTTACGTGCTCATCAACGAGCTACAGAATAAGGTAACATAGAGTAAAGAGAGATGGATAGAGAAACGGAAAGAGGGAGAGATTGACCGAGGCGCGAAGCGGAAGTGGTTCGCCACGGACGAGTTGACTCGCGACTCGGGATTTATCTTTTTGCTACATCATCTGTATTGCAATGATACAGCGTTCGAAAATTTTATCGCATTAAATACTTCATATTAAACATAGTCTACGATGTAGACAAGATAATAGTTTGTCCTATTATTGCGATAAAATTCACCAATTATCGCCTCTAATGGCATAGAAAATGATAAAATGATAACAGTCGCTGATATAAAGGTGCGTTCATTTTAATTACGCTTTTTTTATATTTAAGATAATAGGGATATACGAATTTTAAAAAAAGGAAAAATTAAATAGATAAAATATAAAAAATGTTATGAATAATGAAATTTTTGTTAAGGATGGAACTGTACTGTCTGGTCTTTTACATATATATATACAATCGCGCTGTTTGAATAGAACAGAAAACCATAATAACAAATCTATCATAGATTTATCTATTGCGGACTTAAAACTGTTTGCTATGTCATTTGGAGTTCTGTTATGTAAGTTTAGTGATGTAAATTTTCTTTCTGTGTGTATGTGTATATATGTGTCTATATCGTAAGGAAAATTATAATTTGAAAAAAGCAACGATAATCGCCTATAGCAGAGCCCATTTCATCGACATATCCTTTTAAAAACTTCAATTTTGTTGTGACTAAATTATATAAAATATAATAATAAAATATTTTAAGATAAGATATTAAGAAATAAGACATTTTTTCCTCCACTAAATCAAAATGAATATTAAAAATACACAAGAATACAAAGCAGTATAGCAGTTCACTGAATTGCCTCTCTATCATTATTTTTCTTCAATATACAACTTTAAAAGAAACAATCGATGAAGAGATAAATGGAAGTTGACGGAAGTCGATAGAATATGTTCTTATATCGCGAAAAATTCGAGACACATTCACGATAAACGCGTACGCGCACTCATGTCGGTTAAGTATCATGATTAATGAGATTTTCAAAACTTTGCACTCCTCATCGACATATTGACGCGTTGTGAAAAGCCGTGAACAAATCATATACCCGTTGTAAAAAGCCGTGGACAAATCATATACCCATTTTGATTACATAGTTCGATAAAAAAAAAAAGACTAGTCACTTCCCGTAGTTTTTTGATGCTGAATACGATTTCGTTTTCTAAATTGCTCCATCACGTTACAAGTTTGAGAGCAGTTAAAGTTGCAAGAAAGGCTTATTTTAATGTATATTTTATTATTTCGTAGTTACAATATATTGTTAAAGCTTTATTTTCTCAATCAAAATTAAGTATGTTGTTCAGACTTTCAACCATAAAAAGGAACTTGTCGTCGATTATGGTTAATATAAGATATATTGATATTTAAATATATGGAGTCTATTCTGCGAAAAAGTTGTGAATTAGATCCTTAAGGATCTATGAAATATTCTTCAATTATGTTTGTTAAATTCTTAAGGATTTTTTAGATTGCAATACGAATCCGATATCAAAATTAACAAATTGAAAATAGCGGAATTAATTAATGGATGTCAAAATTCAGAGATTTGAATTTTTAAAAATTTATATATACATTTTGAATTTGTCAATTTTAACATTAGATTTATATTCAGCAACCTAAAAAACTTTTAAGTTCGAATATAATTGAAAACTATTTGATAGATCCTCAATGATCTAATTCGCAAGTTTTTCACAATAGTTATTATGTAATTAATATATTTAACCACATTTAAACATATTTAATCATAAATATCTTATTAATTATGGTCGATATAATAAATTCCTTTTTCGAGAGCAGGAACTCTTAACAATATATATAATTTTGATTGAACTAAAACTTTTCCGACGTATCGTAGAGGGAAAGTCGAGGGGAAGTCATTAAGTACAAATAGTTATCGATAAAAAGTAAAAAAGATTATGTATTATATAAATGAAGGAAAGTCATTTATTAAGTACACAAATGAATGTGGGATGAGCTGTAAATTGAATAAATTAATTTCTAATTGTGGCAATGGTTGTTGACACAATTCAACAATCAATAAATATTTGTGATATATTTAATGACTTTTCTTCGTAATTAAAATAGCTTTTTCTTGCAATTTTAATTACAAATTAATCAAAATTGTGATGTGATGAAGCAATTTGAAAATAAAAATTATATTCAACATGAAAAAAATTACAGAAAATAACTGGTCTTGTTCTTGTGATTAAAAAAGTTGTGTTTGGTTGAACAATGTTATCATTGCATACCGCACTTTCGATCTATCTCGTTTCTGATCACCGTAAGATTTTCATTGAAGCTAAAGCGTTCCATTTCTGCATTCGTTTCTTCTTTACAAAATTTAAAAAATTGAGAGACTCCAAACTAAGAAAATCTTTAAATCAAATAAATAATAAGATTAAAAAAGTCAAATCAAACTGAAGAGAAACTTGTAAAAAGAGTTTCAATGAAGATAACGGCGATTTTCGATTTCGAAAATTATGGATTCGATATTTCATGAAAAAAAGTGATTTATTATTAGTTTAAATATTTACTTAAAATATCTCCTTTTTTTGCAAGAATTCGAAACTATATATATTAGATAATTATATAATAATCGCGTAATTAAAGTAGAGTTGAGTCAGAGTGGGCATACAGCTTATATTTGCACATATGCAATCAGATATGAATTTTATATCAAGTTAAACAAATCCCGTACCACGCAATGTCGAGAAATTCATGAAGACGTATTGCACAAAACTACGTGACTTCTACTCTCACGGAAGCTAGTCTCTTTCATCACGAAACTTATGCCTGTGCATATCGTTGGCTGCCATTGTTTCTCGAATTATCCAGCGGAGGCGGAGCATCGCGCCCTCGGAAGGTCGTCCATTACCTCCAGCTTCGTGTCGCACAATTACCCGATTATGCGCCTTGGTATCGTGCGCGTTTGCTTTCTTTTTTTCAATTTCTTTTTTTTTCCTTTTCTCGCTCTTTCGGCTCCCTACCGTGTACGTTCCAATTTTTCGATCGATTCTTCGATTATCATCTCTCTGTTAAGTTAGCACCAGATTATGCGCATACTTATGATTCGCGATTCGTAGATTATTATATACTCAGAAAAAATCTCTATATATAATTAAATGTAATATCATACGAAGATTTACTAGTTTTTTATTTTTATTGGTTTTTTTATTATTAATTTTATTTATTATATAATTAATTAAAAATAAAATAATTT